ACATGCCCAGCATGAGTTTTGAGCCACCGGGTCTGGGACTTGAACTGTGGGAGTCCAGCAATGTAACCATTATGCCATCTGCTGGTCTCCCATTTGTTGTTATTTATTTATTTATTTTTAATTTGACTAGTGTGAGAGAGAAAGGGAAAGCAAGAAAGCAAGCTGCCATGTCCAGGACTTGAACCATGGTCAGCCACATGGGAATCCAGTGCCTTTAACCACCATGCCACCTGCTGGTCCTAAGTCTTTTTATTTTTATTTTGTGCTCAGTGGACAAAGACAGGGGTGGGGGGTGGGGTGAGAGAGAGAGAGAAGCGTCTGATCACACCGTGACCCACCCCATTTCAGTTATGCAGCCCATTGTATCCTGGGCTCTTGCACATATGCCTGGTGAATTTCAGGCTGACTAGTCAGGGGATTTGAACTGTAGTTGCCATGTGGGATCTGGTTTCTCCTGAACAGTGCTTTGCCAGTATGCTATGGACCCACTCTTGTTTTTGTTTGTTTGTTTGTTTTGTGGGTTTTGTTATTGTTTGTTGTTGCTCTGTGTTCTATTTATTCTACTAATTGAGAAAAGTAGATTAAAATTTTTCTAATAATGATTGCATTTACCCATTTTTCTCTTTAGTTCCTTTCTTGACTTTTGTATTTTGAAGCTGTTATTAGGCACATATACATTTATAATGGCTATGTCTTCCTGATGTATTGATTCTTTTTCCATTGTAAAACATCCTTATTTATTTATTTAAGAGTTTTTTTGCTATAGGGCATATGTGCTTGACAGAGAGACAGAAAGTGAGAAATCACTCCCCTGGGGCTATGGCCATGCTGTAATCCCTGTAATCCCTCCTCCTCCATTCTCCTTTTGAGATCTTGGGCATGTATGCACATGCACCCAGTGTAAATTCTGAGTCACCAAGTCTGGAACTTTAACAGTGGTCAACTGCATGAGACTCCAGCAATGTAACCCTTATGCCATCCACTGGTCCCTAAAATATCCTTTTTTAATGAAAAACAAAATTTGCTATGAGGCCAGCAGGTGATATGGTGGTTAAGGCACTGGACTCCCACACGGCTAGCAATGGTTCAAGTCTTAGATCTGGCAGCTTGCTTTCTCACTTTCCCTGTCTCTTTCTGTCTGATGAGCACATGTGCCCTGTAGCAAATTCAAAAATAATAATAATGATAAATAATATTAAATAAATAAATCTTAATATTTTTTTACTAGGTGTGTGTGTTCACTGGAGAGAGATAAAGAGAGAGGAGAGAGGGACCAGCAGTTAGCGTAATGGCTATGTCGCTGGACTCCCACGTAGTCGACCATGGTTCGAGTCCTGGACCCGGCGGCTTAAAATTCACACCGGGCGTGTGTGCGTGCCTGAGATCCCGAGAGGAGAATGGAGGAGAAGGGATTGCGGTGTGGCCATCCCCCTGGGGGGTGATTTCTTGCTCTCTGTCTCTCTGTCTCTCTCTGTATGTCTGGTGAGCGCACACACCCTATAGCAAAAAACCTCTCCAAAAAAAAAAAAGAGAGAGGAGAGAGAAAAAAAGCATCCCCTAGAGAGGATGGTCATGCAACAGTTCTTTCTTCTCTATTCTCTTAGGATTTTAGAACAAACATATACATGCACCCTATGTGTTTTTTAGGCTGCCAGGTCTAGGACTCTGGAGGAGTCTGACCCGGTGAGGCCCCAAGATCTGTCTGAGCCCCCCGACCTTTGAGCTCCGCTTCCGGTTGGATCAACACGTTGGCAAGGCCACTGTTG